CGCCACTCTCAGGAGGCAGCAGTCTTCATTGTCTAACACGTCTTATGTGCCCTACTGGACAACAACACGTCCATGGTATCCGTAGAACACCTAGCATTCAATTTAAAAACATATATTAAATACTAGTCAATTGCCCATCAAGAATGGCAGGCAGGGGCTGCAGGTGAGGACAGAGGCCTGCGTCCAGCTCTGCCCCGCACCTTCGGGGCCAGACCTGCTCCCCCTTTCCCCCACGCCCGCGAAGGGCCAAGCCTGGCGCCCACCACCCTCCCTGCCGCCTTTGTTGAGCCGGGTCCAACCCTCTCCCCATCCTCCTGCCACTTGCACCCCCCCCATACCCTCCATTTTGGGGCCAGGCTGGGCCCAGCCTGTCCCTCCACCCTCCCTGCTGCTGTTGTGGGGCTGGCACTGGGCCTGCTCTTCCACCTTCCCTGCCACTTTCAGGGCCCAGCCAGGCCTGGTTTGCCCCCCGACCTCCTGCTGCCATTTCAGGGCCAGACCCGCTCCTCCCAGCCACCTGCATCAGCCTGGGTCTGCTGCTCCCCACCCACCCGCACCCACTGTGGCAAACCTGCTTCTCCCTGGCCTCTAAGCCTGCTCCTCCCCTCCCATGTCAGCCCATGTGAGGAGGGAGCAGTGTAGGATAGAGAGGGAGGCCAGCAGCCAGCTTCCATATTCGCTGCCAGCAGAGAGTAGAGCGGTGGGGGCTGGCCTCACCCCCCTTGCAGCATCCCGAGCCTGCTCCCCCCAACGCCACCACCTCCAAGGAGCAAGCAGGGAGGGAGGGGGGAGCAGACCTGCCATTCCACCTGCTCCACTGTCACCACCTCCAGGCAGCAGGGCACGGGGGGTGAGGTCCCGTGTCCCCCCATCATGGCAGTGCTCTGCCGCCACCTGTCTGAATGCTGTATTTGCACTGATTGGTTGTTTCCGTCAGCCAATCAGAGTGCGAATAAAGCGTTATGGACAGACAGATAGACTACAACTTTTATAATATTAGAATTTCTGGAATCATATTTGGGAAAGCTGAAGGATTCACAAGACATACTTACAGATTTCATAGACATTAGGACTGGAAGGGACCTCACAAGATCACTGGGTCCAGCCCCCTGCCCAAAGGACAGGCAGATCCCAGCACGATAGGCATCCAAGTGTTTCTTAAAGGAATCCAGAGTAGGTGCTTGCACCACCTCTGTAAGGAGTCTCTTCCAGGCCCTGGGGACTCAGATAGTAAAGAAGTTGTTCCTTATGTCCAGACTAAAAGTCTTCCAAGAGTTTGTGACTGTTGGACCTAGTCTTCCCATGGGGTGCACGCCCCTTATAGGCTGCCACCAAGTCACCCCTGAGCCTACGTTTTTCCAGACTGAAGAGTCCCACGTGTCTCAGCCTCTCCTCATAAGGCCTGCTCTCTTGTCCTCTGTTCATTTGCATGGCTCTCCTCTGGACTCTCTCAAGCTTCTCCTTACTCTACTTCAGCATCCATTTTAAGGTCTTCTCAATTTAAAGAGGCCTCTAGTCTAGTTTGTCAGGATAATAATGACAAAAGTTGTGCACTATATATCATAGGCAACACGTAGGGGGTGCATGGGAGGGCACATGCCTCCCTGACAGCACTGGTGCCCCGCCTGACAGCGAGCGCTCCGGCTGGTAGGGGGGCACAGACAGTGCTAGTGCCCCCCCGAAATTGGCTGCGCTGGCAGCACTTCCGCCACTGCCGTGCTGCTGGCGCGCTCAGCAACTGTCTGCTGGGGGACACCCCCACCCCAGTTGTGCCCTGCTGGTGCCCCCCCAGACTCGTGAGGCACCAGTTGCCCATGTTATATATATAGCATGGGCTTAAATTTCAACGAAGAAGATATCAGTTAGGGTATTAGGAAGAAGCACCGGCACAGGTTAACTAGAGGCTGTGAGAAACTTCCTGTGATGGAAATTCAAGTGCAGGTTAGACAAGGTTTGCATTAGATTATCTTGAGGATTTCTCCAGACCTATTTTTGTATGCTGTGTCAATATTCTGGCAGATTCTCTGCACTGAGGTAGGGATATGTATTTATCCCTCTATATCCAAATTACCCCACCAACAGACAGATCAAACAGGTGATCTGATGCAGTCACTTAACATGCTTTACTGACCACAGGAAAGCTTTGTTAAAACCCGAAAATGAATATTTTGAAAACATTTTTTTAGATTTGGAAAGCCCCTCTTATGGACACAGCTGCAGTTCACAGGTCTACTACTACACTCATACTGTAATGCAGTTCATTTTATACTAGGATGTATGGGCATTCTTATGGTCACACTTATCTCCTTGAAATAGGGAAAAGAAAATTCTCTGAAAATGTGTAATATTTTATAAAATATAATTTACTTCTATAACATAATAGGTTGTATCTTTGCACATTCTGAGTATATACAAAAGGCACATACATCACAAGGACAATTGTACTTTCTATTTAATAGTAAAAGAGTGTTGTACTCTGTATACATAAAACAAAATGTATGTCCCTATGTAATACAAATTTGTATACATGTTCAAACGTATACCGTGCAATAGATGCATTTCTATGTATACAGAATACACAACTCACAAACTACAACAAACATATATATATATATATATAATTCCTTAGACTTCACATTAAGTTTTAGCATAAACCTATGTTCCAAGTCAGTATTCAACAAAGGTAAAAAAATAGCGTGAATAAACAAATTCAACAGTTTGTTTAAAAAAATCAGTATCAGCTGTGAACAGCAATATTTCACATGTATGGAGCCCAGCCCATGTACATCTGGCAGAGCAGATTCTCATCACTTGCTTCTTGTATGAGATAGTGGACGTGTCCTTCAATAGACAAGGGCAATCCTTTTATCCTGTTTCGAGTCTTAATCACACCTTGCAGCCGCTGTTCTATATCAAGGACATGGGTCTTAGCCTGGAAACAAGGAAAAAGAAAAATTAAAATGTTAAATATCATTTTTTTCACATTTTTAAATGAAACAATTCTTGTTTTGCTGAGTCTGCATTTACTCCAAATCCCAAATATGAAAAAAAGAGAGTGAATCATTCTCAAGAACTGGAACTTACCATTCATTTTATGGCTAGAAATTTAGAAGAGACTGAATAAGCTATTATGCAAGCCATTGACACAGGTAGTAATTAAATATGTTTTAGCTAAGCAAGTCCTTTCATCATCATAAAACACGTACGACTCAAATACCTAGTGTGTTTACACCTCAACTGAAGCATTAGCTTCAATTTGGTTAGTATAGGTCACAACAGCAATCAAAATGCAGGGGGCTTCCGTGCAGGCTGTACGATCTGCTAGGATCCATGCATATGCTGCTTGATAACCAATTTTACTATCTTGGAGTGGCATATAGTTAGGCATGTACCTGTCCCAACAAAATCAAATGGCAGCTAGTTGTTCTGGGCACAGATCTCCCATAGAACAAAGCCTGACACTGTTGCAAACAGGTCTATGCTAAGGCCTCACCTAGAGGATGCAGTCTTTGGTCTTCCCCATAGCATTCAAACCAGAAGTGCATGTTAAGGGTGCCTGCCTGACTGTTCTGAACGTAGTTCTATCACAGGAGGCTTACCACAGAAAACAAGTTGTGGTATCCCAGAACATAACTGCTTTCTGAAACAGGAGAGAAGACCTTACTTTACTCTAAGCAGCATTACTCTGGTGCACCTCTGCACTTTCTTTGGAGACCAAAGGTCTTGGCCATGAAATTCTTCATTGTAAGCACCATCTGTTTATATAAAATTCCATTTAGTCAGATCTCTCACTTGGATGACCTCAGATTTGGAAAGCTAATACTTTTTACCATTTCCATGAGGTGCAAGGTGCCTTAAGGCAGTTCAAATAAGAATGCAGATTTAAAAGCATTCTTGACGGAGCTGACCTTTAAAGAGAAAACACTGCTCAACTTTAACTACAGCAAAGCCAGTGCTCTACTGTAATGTACTTTTAACATAGTATTCCCTGCATTATTTCCTAGCTTTAAAAAAATGAAACTGGAAAAACACCTGGAAGTTCCATTATATAGCAACATATAGAAATACACTTGGTTCATCAACAGAGTTGGAAACTTTAGATGGCATACACAGACCTCTGCCACTTGACCTAATGGAGCAGCTGAGAGCAACAGTAGCCTGTCATCTTCTATATGCTCCTATCTTTTACCACTAACTTTGCTATTCCCAGAACTGCAATTACAAGCGAAGATGGGCTCAGCCTAGTTTCAGAGTAGAAAATATTGGATTTGAACAGAGAGCTCAACCAGATAACACTTGCAGTCTCTTCAAACCCTACAGTTTTATAATTCAGCCTTGGGCTGAAGCATACCCAATGTGTACAGAATCCTTTAGGAAGTTAAAGTATCAACATTTAAGACATTGCTATTGAGAACTTTTGAATTTTGATTTTTTGTCATGGGCTTATAAACTTAGTGAAATATGGGCAAATTTTCAGACAACAAAAGGCATATCCCTGAAACAAAAGCTATCCACCTACCAAATTCCAAGTTGTGCTTTCAAAACCAAAATTGTAGAGAATGTTTCTAACATAGGCAAAACAAAATATTTTCCCTTAGACCTGCACTTAGAAATGGATGAACCACTTTGGATGAAGTTTTCCAAGAACAGCCAGAGGAGAGACCTGGCACAGAAAATTTCAGCCTGAATAATGCTCTATTTTATTCACATACCACACATCAGGCTCCTTCTGTCACCACCATTTTTCCTCCCCCTGCTGCTCAGTGAACAGCTTACTACCAATTTGGCAGTGGCTGCAAAAGGGTTAAAGCTGTAGCTGTTGGCCCTGCAGCGGGGGGAGGAGTGGCACTGATGGCAGAACTCCACCCTTGCTCCACATGGTTGGAAGGGTCAGCCCCAGGTGTACTCTGGGTACTCTGTACCTCTGAGTTGGTGCAGAATAGTCTCTGCCAAGACTAGTTTATACTAGGTAAATGATGATAACAATACTCCTTTATCAGTTAAGAGTCACTGATGATAGAAGCAATGAAAAAACTTGATAGGTATAGATCAGGGACAGGCAATTATTTTGGGCAGAGGGATGCTTACTGTGTTTTGGCAAGCCATCAAGGGCCGCGTGACAGGCAGCCCAGGGCAGATAAATATTATTTTTCTAAATTTTTTAGGGGCGCCACGGGCCGGATAGAATGGTCTGGCAGGCCACATCCGGCCCCCAGGACACATTTTGCCCAACCCTGGTATAGATAGTGATAAACTTACCATCACTATGCCATTTAGAAGGCTGGGCAGCATGTTGGAGAAAGGCATGAACCCTATATAAACGAAAGCTTTCTAATGTTGTTGACACTGGTGAAGAACTAGAAGGTCATAATTTTTTTCAGTACATATAGAACCTTAGAAAATGATACTAAAAAGGTACAGTATGTGTTAACAACATTTTCTATAGTTTCACTATACTTAAAGATAGAATATCAGAAAATAAATCATTTGTTAAAAAGGCTAAAATAGGTTTAAAAGAAAAACATGAAAGTAAAGCTTTCCTTGAATATGAACACAATTTCTGAAACCTATAGATACTGTTGTGCTTGAAATAATTAACAGTAGTTCAATAAGTAAACCAAACTTCTTGCAACTCACCTTTTCATTGACAACTTCCCCAGTTTCATTCACCTGTGTTTTTGTATTACCTTTCACTGGTTTACTCCATTCCACAAGAGGATCATGGAGAAAAGTCTTCAAGACGCTAAATACAAACAAAGGAAAGCTCAATGTTTAAATGTTTAAACAAACACCTTTATGAAGTGAAATAAATTTTCTGGTGATTATCAACTTCAGTTTGTCAAGCACAAGACTTTCTCTCTCTGCTAAAATAAAATACTGCTGCTTGAATTTCATATTAATTTGTAATTCTATTTTTCTAGAGCAAAGCAAAATCTTAAAAATAAAAGGCCAGCTATGTTAAATGTCTCTACCTCCTTTGTAGTCATCTTCACAACATCAGTACTAATAATTTCACAAAGATTAACCTTGTCCATTACCTGATCAGTCATAGGCAAAGCACACCCTTTAACCAGTATTTTAAATGGGCTCCTATATCACCCGACAGCAGGTTTTGCAATAGGAAACACTGCATCAGTAAAATTTTCAAGAGGCTCTAAAATAATGTTTTTAGTTAGGAAAATACACATTAATGCATTACACTGTCTGGAAAAAAATGAGTACATCTTTTCATGCATCTTTGGTAAGGAATTTATACTTGCTCTCAAGTTAGTGCTAGAATGAGTCAGTATAAGCAGTTTTACCATTAGCAGTCTACAGAAACATGACCTATGGAAATATAAGGACACTAAAGAGGAGGTGATCCTCCCCCTCTATGCGACGCTGGTCAGGCCGCAGCTGGAGTATTGTGTCCCGTTCTGTGCGCCCCATTTCAGGAGGGATGTGGACAACATGGAGAGGGTCCAGAGGAGGGCCACCCGCATGATTCGGGGACAGCAGGGCAGACCCTACAGTGAAAGACTGTGGGACTTGAACCTATTCAGCCTCCACAAGAGAAGGCTGAGGGGGGACCTGGTGACCGTCTATAAGCTCACTAGGGGGAACCAGAAGGGTTTGGGGGAGACGCTGTTTCCCCTAGCCCCCGCTGGCATAACAAGGAGTAATGGGCACAAGTTGAGGGAGAGGAGGTACAGATTGGACATCCGAAAAAATTACTTCACAGTTAGGGCGGCTAGGAGCTGGAACCAACTTCCAAGGGAGGTGGTGCTGGCCCCTACCCTGGGGATCTTTAAGAAGAGGCTGGATACTTACCTGGCTGGACTCATTTGAGGCCCGTTTTTGTTTTTAGGGTGAGTGTTTGTTTTTTGTTTTTTTTTTTGGGTTGTCCTCCCGCCCTGGCGGGGGGGCGGGCTAGAAGATCTATTAGGTCCCTTCCGACCCTGAAACTATAAAGAAAAAGAAAGCTGAACCTGAATCTTCTCCAGACTCCTAATTTGTATTACAGTAAATCTATCATGGACAAAAAAGTGGCAGGTTGAACATGCAGCAGCAGAACACAAAAACAACAACAAAAAGGAATTCTACCCTAAGCCTCATTGCTTCAGCTCAGAATGAGTCAAATTATGGTATCCTTTACAAAACAAAACTCTTTCTGATTAAACTGAAATTTTGTATGATTTAATTGACTCCATGCTGCAAGTACAGACTGTTGTTTATAAAATACAATGTTTACTCAAATCCAAGACAAGATCACCTCCCCCCTCCCCCACCACATTTAACAAAGCTGGGGAAAAGCCCCTTGTCTTGGATTTAAGTACAAAGTAGCACGGGGGCAGCTGCTGCCTGTTCCACTGCTGCCTCTGCACCACCACCACCTCCCCTTGCTCCATCACCAGCAGGGCTTCAGCCCTGCTTCAGCTCAGGGCACAGAGCATGTGCTTGCTCCAGCTCCCACCTGGTCCAATAACAGCTGTTTTGGCGAAAGCAGCAGCAGCTCTGGATGGGCCCTGGAGTGTAGGCTGGAGCTGCCACCCAGCCAGGCTTGGCTAGAGCAAGTATGTGCTCCTTGCCCCGGGCTGGGGCTGGAGCAAGTGGTAAGCAGTCGGATGAAGAAAATGGGGCATATGTGGAGAGGCAGAGGTGGCATGGAACAAGGTATGACAGGGTGCAAGGTATGCCTGCCCCCCTACTGCAGTGGTGGTGGGGACAAATTTAAGATGACCCTCTGATAATTGGATTCTGTGTATGGAAAATTATAGTAAATTTATAAATTTTCCATATAAATAATCTAATTATTGAGGGGTTATCTTAAATTCAGTCATCTTGGATTTGGGTAAATAGAGTACATAGAAACCTGTATTAAGAGCCAGCTCTACTCTTATGCAGCTATTTATTTAAGTTTTTCAAGATTTTCAGTATTTTTGTTTGTTTCTTAAAAAGCCATATAAACAAGGCAGCATTGTTTCTGATGTTCCACTGGGTGATGCTACAAGACAGATTTTATCATATCTGTTTTGAAGGTATTTTATTCTTCTTTTGTACTCAGAATAAGAAACTGAACCCTACAATAATTTAGACATCCATATCTGTTGCCCCAGGACAAGCTTTAAAAATGTTCACAGGATAGGAAGTCCTAACAGTTTATCTCAGGACATGACAAAGTATATCTGAAGTTTTCCAGATAAATTCTTGGAGCATCCCAGGACATGTGACAAAAATACCTGGTTCCAGTCATAATTGGGGGTTAAGTAGCACATGGCTCCTTTATGGAGGGTATCTGGAGTATACCCCCATACTGAGTAGTGGGGTCAATGTGGAATGTGGGGCCACGCTAATCATATGCACGAGGCTGGGAGAGCACCCTCAGCAACAGAGGAATTCTGGGTGGACTGTATGCAATGTCGTGGCTCACCATGGTTTGAAATGCTGTTGAGTGGTAGGGCCCTGCCTAGTGAACTATGTGGTAAATCATGAGCCTTTTGGGTAAATCTCCCAGGGTTTTATTACACACCTAGTGAGAAAGTTTTTCCTAATATCCAACCTAAACTTCCCCTGCTGCAACTTGAGACCATTGCCCCTTGTTCCATCATCTGTCATCACTGAGAACAGTGTAGATCCATCCACTTTAGAACCACCCATCAGGTAGTTGAAGGATGCTATTAAATCCCCTTGCAGCCTTCTCTTCTCCAGATGAAATAAGCACAGTTCCCTCAGCCTCTCCTCATAGGTCAGATGCCCCAACCCCCTAACCATTTTCATTGCCCTCTACTAGTCTCTCTCCAATTTCTCCACATCCTTTCTGTCCAGTTTTGAGCCCTGCACTACATAGTACTGAAGATGTGGCCTCACCAGTGCTGAATAGAAGGAAAGAATCACTTCCCTCAAGCTGCTGGCAAGGCTCCTACCAAGTATGACTTTAGCCTGCTTGGCAACTACGGCACACTGTGGGCTCATGTTCAGCTTATTGTCCACTGTACCCCCCAGGTCCTTTTCTGCAGAGCTGCTGCTTAGCCAGTCAGTCCCCAACCTGCACCAGTGCATGGGATTGTTCCATCCTAAGTGCAGCACTTGGCACTTGTAATTATTGAACCTCATGAGATTTCTATTGATCCAATCCTCTAATTTGTCTAGGCCTTGCTGAATCCTAGCCCTATCCTCCAGCGTATCTACTACTCCGTCCAGCTTCGTGTCATCTGCAACCTTGCTGAGGGTGCTTTCCCTGGGGCACTCCACTTGATACTGGCTGCCAGCCAGACATTGAGCCATTGACTACAACCCTCTGAGCCCGATGATCCAGCTAGTTTTCTATCCATCTTACAGTCCATTCACCCAACCCATATTTCCTTTGCTTGCTTGAGAATGTTGTGGCAGACTGTATCAAAAATCTTGCTAAAGTCAAGATATATCACATCCACTGACCTCCCTGCATCCACATAGCCAGTCATCACATCATAGAAGGAAATCAAGTTGGTCAGGCATGACTTGCCCTTGGTGAATCTATGCTGACTGTTTCTAATCACCTTCTCCTCCAAGTGCTTAGAAATAGATTCCTTGAGGACTTGCTCCATAATTTTTCCAGGGACTAAGGTGAGGCTGATCAGTCTGTAGTTCCTTGGATCCTGCTTCTTCCCTTTCTTAAAGATGAGCACTATTATTTGGTCTTTTCCAATCATCCAGGATCTCTCCTAATTGTCATGAGTTTTCAAAGATCATGGCCAGCAATAGGATGCAGTTCAACAAGGACAAGTGCAAGCTGCTGCACCTAGGGAGAGGGACTCATCAGCACACCTATAGGCTGGGGGATAACCTTCTCAGCAGCACAGAAGTGGAAAGAGATCTTGGAGTCCTTGTTGACTCCAAGATGAATATGAGTTGTCAATGTGATGAAGTACTTAGCAGAGCTAACCACACTTTGTCATGCATTAGTAGGTGCATCACAAACAGACCCAGGGAGGTAATGCTTCCCCTCTATGTGGCACTGGTCAAGCTGCAGCTGGAGTACTGTGGCCAATTCTGGATGCCACAATTCAAGAGGGATGTGGATAGCCTTGAGAGGGCCCAGAGGAGGGCCACCCATATGGTTAGAGGCCTGCAGGTAAGGCCCTATGAGGAAAGGCTGAGGGACCTGGACCTTTTCAGCCTCTGCAAGATAAGTTGAGGGGGGAATCTCATGGCAGTATACAAATTCACCAGGGAGTGGGGGGCAGCAGGGAATAGGAAATGCTCTGTTTATCAGGGCACCCCTTGGAATAACTAGGAACAACAGACACAAGCTGATAGAGCAGGGGTAGGCAACATTTTTTGGCCGGAGCACCGAAAAACACCACAATGCCTACCTTGGAAGGTGCCGGAGTGCCAGCATGCCAGAAAAACAAAATGAGGGCAGGGGGTACATGGCAGGATGCCGTGCTTGTGACACAGTTTCCCTGCTGCTGGAGACCAGGCTGTTCCCAGCAGGGCTTACAGTGTCCCAGCTGCCTGCTGGGAGCAGCCTGGGCTCCCGGCTGGCAGCAGCTACCTAGAGCCGGGGCCAGCTGCAGCCGGGAGGCTGCAAACACCTGCACTGGGCTCCAGAGCCCCAGCATCAGCTCTGTATTGGCGTGTGCACGCATGCCTCAGACTGGACAGTGGGGGAGGGGTCCAAGGCAGCACAACCCCGGTCTCAACCCCACTCCCGGCACAGAGCTGGTGACTGGGCTCCAGAGCCCAACGCAGCTGTTTGTAGCCAGCCTGGGCTCTGGGCAGCTGCCGCAAGCAGTGGGCAGGCTGCAAAAAGCTGCGCTGGGCTCCACAGCTCTGGCATCAGCTCCGTGCTGGTGGCGACTGCGTGCACACCTCAGGGCAGACAGCAGGGCAGCGCAGCCTTCTCCAAGGTGCATGTGCAGTCACTTCCAGCATGGAGCTGATGCCGGAGCTGTGGACCTGGCACAGCTGTTTGCAGCTGCCCGCTTGCTGCAGCTGCCCAGAGCCCCTGCTGGCTACAAACAGCTGCGCCAGGCTCCGGAGCCCAGTCACCAGCTCTGTGCTGGGAGCGGGGTAGAGACCAGGACTGTGCTGCCTCAGGCCCCTCCCCCATCGCCCACTCTGAGGCACACTTGCATGTGCTGGTACAGAGCTGATGCTGGAGCCCAGCACAGCTGTTTGGAGCCTCCCGGCTGCCACCGGCCCTGGCTCCGGGGTGCTTCT